ATGACAGTTTTATTTACAGTAATGGGGATGGAGTCTGGAGAACTGACGGTTTCCTCCTGTGAGAATCCCCTTTATACCAAAATGCTGCCAATACGCCATTATACAGTAGCTGGAAGTTAGAAACACGTTCAGCGCTCGTCTGGAACACGTCAGATACGTTGATATGCGTTGGAGAGAAGTTCTGGATAAGTTATGCAGAAGTTAGTTGATAGGCTAGACGCCACGACTTATGAGTAACCGACACTTAACGTATGTCAACGATGAGATAACTGACCTGTAACTTATGACCCATGTATGGCATACGCCGGCATACGGCGGGAAATTTTCAGCATGAACGTGTTTCAGCGTACTTCAGCGTGCTCACAACTTATACAAAATCCCATAACTTATCCATAACTTATCCAGCGTATGGCAGCGCTTTGCCTTTTCATACGTCAGGCATCCGTTGGTCTAAATCGTCCAGGTGGGACGGGGGTTTGAAGAAGCTAAAAGATCTGATGTCAGCAAAATAATTCACCCTGAGTTCATAATAATCCGCTTTACGAGCCAAAGCTCGACTAAAACAAAATGTCTTACAATCTGTTTCTTCCAGCTTGGTTGGTCTATTGGACCTGAGCACCTGGTTAAACATCTTCAGACTGTCATGCAGAATACTCTGTACACCTGTGCTACACCTCTACAGGTACGTCACTCACTACAAGTTAGAAAAGTGTTTAAACCCATTGAACTTTTTCACATTTAAAACAATAACAAACAAAAAACTCTGATAGACACTGTATGTTGCTTAGCAATGCTGCTGCCAGGAGGCGGTGGGTCTTCCTCAGTTTGTAGGAGGCATTCTCTGCCATTGTCGCCAAATAAGAATAAAAAGTCTAAAAAAAAAATCTACATTGAAATGGCTTCAATAATAGATTAAAAGTGTAAAACTGCGGTTTGCATGCAGGACTTGAATAGTAACATCCCTCTGTTTCCTGCTCTGTCCTCCTATAGTTATTTCTGACCAAAAGATTCAACAATTGTCCCATGTGTGACTTTGTAGTGAGGTAATGTCTAGTTGAAAAAGTGTCATTTAAGTTCAAACTGCACCTATCAATCTGGTTTATGTCGGGTAACCTTAAATCTGAACTTTAACTTTTCTAACCCATGAATGCTCTTTGAATTAAAGGTCTCCATCGTAGCCTGCTCTTTGCATTTAGTTTTTTGCAAAAAGCTGCACCTCTGATCTCATCTGACCGGAGTAGGATTAAATCCTAATTATAGAAATTCTGTTTATTGGTTTTAACGGAACAATTTGTGAAATAGGTGAGAGGTGTTTAGACTTGAGTTAGGCCTCAGAATCAATTCAGTTCAGTTTATTTATATACCGCCAATTCACAACACGTCATCTTATCAAGTTTTCTATCTAAGGAAAAGTTGATTGCATCGACTCTTCAGCAATCCCTGAAACTCAGCATGCTTGTAGCGACAGTGGAGAGGAAAAACTCCCCTTTAACAGGAAGAAACCTCCAGCAGAACCAGGCTCAGTGTGAGCAGCCATCTGGTGTGGCCCACTGGCGTTCAAGGAGACAGAAGCAGGCATATAAAAA